TTACAATTGAATCTTCTACAATAATGGGGAGGCAGAGCGTAGCTGCTGGGTCTTAGGATTATAGCAAACAAAGGGTTAGAGTTTGTGAAATTGGACCAGTAGCCTAATTGTTTTTAAAGGGTTTTATTCTCTTCATTTTTGGTTTTGATTTCCTATATATGTTGTTTACTATTGTGGGTTGGATTGGCAGATTGATAATTCTGATTTTGTTTTGCAGTGCGATCTTTTGGAACAGAAGGAAGGAAAAAGGATGGCCCACAAATTCCTCCTGGTGACAAGGTTTATGAGTATATACTTTTCCGCGGAACTGACATCAAGGTATCATGCATGGAATACATACAAGTGCTTTTCTATATATTTAATGTATTGGTACCCGATTTTATTCAAGTGTACATATAAAAATAATGACATGTCACTTGTGTTGTTTGTTATTTTGTTAAGAAACTTTTTTTGTACCACTTGGTTCGAGAATCTATGAATATATACTGCAAAATGAAATGATAGAGGGCTGATCCTGATTTTCTTATCTATTTTATGAGTTTATGTAATTACCTGATGAAGGCTTTGTTTAGATGTTACTGCATGGATATTATATATGAATCAGATCAGCTGCGGCATCTTTCTTTTTATTTTTATTTTTCCTGTAGGATTTACAGGTTAAATCTTCTCCACCTGTCCAGCCTACCCCACAAGTTAACAATGACCCAGCTATTATTCAGGTTGATGATTTTTGTTTGTTTGTGTATATTGATTCAGTTAAATTAATCTTATTCTAATTACATGGAATTGCATTTACAGTCTCACTATCCTCGCCCAGTCACAACATCTACAGCTTTGCCTTCTGCTGTAAGTGGGTCTTTGACTGATCTTAGCTCACATACCCCTCAGCTTGGACTTCCTGGGTCAAATTTTCAAGGGCCCGTGCCTTTGTATCAACCTGGAGGGAACATAGGATCATGGGGAGCTTCTCCGCCTGCTCCAAATACAAATGGTGGTAGAGTTGCTATGCCAATGTATTGGCAAGGATATTATGGTACCCCAAATGGGCTTCCTCATTTACACCAACAATCTCTTCTTCAACCCCCACCTGGTTTATCAATGCCTTCATCCATGCAGCAGCCAATGCAGTATCCCAATTTCAGTCCTTTACCTACTGTATCTTCTAATTTGCCAGAATTACCGTCATCTTTGCTGCCTGTGAGTACTAGTATCCCTAGTGTAACATCTGCTTCATTGCCTCCAGCACCATCTGCTTTGCCTCCTGCGCCTTCTGCTTTGCCTCCTGCAGTTTCTGCTTTACCTCATGCATCTTCTTCCTTATCTCCTGTACCCTCTGCAACACTTGCTTCTGAAATTTTATCAGTATCAGTAACAAACAAGGCACCCAATGTTTCAACTTCAGCAGCCAGTTTAGCTGCTAACTTACCTTCACTGACCAATCCTGGTCCTGATATAAATGCTTTAGTGCTACCGATCTCCAGTAAACCAAATGCAATTTCAGGTTCAAGTTTGCCCTATCAAACTATATCCCAGTTTTCTCCTGCAGTTGTTGGATCATCAACTTCTATCCATGCAGAAACATCAGCCCCTTCTCTGATAACCCCAGGTCAATTGTTGCAACCTGGACCAACTATAGTTTCTTCATCTCAGCCTACACAAGCATCTCATAAGGATGTTGAAGTGGTTCAGGTATCATCAACATCATCTCCTGAGCCATCTCTGTCGGTTTCTTCTGCAATTCAACCACCAATTCTGCCATTGCCAGTAGCCTCACGGCCTAGTCACAGGGTATCCTTCTCTGATCTACAATTTTTGTGCATTCAGAGACACATACTCTTATGATGGTTTTGCACATGCATATATGTTTTATACAAATGGAAGCATGGTGGAGACCAGAGTCTTGTAATTTAACTGGAATCTCATTACCCCAAGATATTTAGTCTCTTTGAATGAGTGTTTGTGAATTTGATTTTAGATGATCTGGATTTGACAAAATTGATCTTGTTTGGGATTATGTTTGAAGTGAAGTGATTTAGTCTTTCATCTAAACTTCAAGTTTATAGTAAATCATAATATGAAATTTTCAACCCAATGCAGAAGTTGTATCTTTCAATTTTTTTGTCAAATGTGCTTTTATAATTACAACCATGATTTTTCAAACGAAGTCATATTTACCCAAGTTGAATGTGCATTTGAGCAGTTAAAACGTTGCAAATATGGAAATTATGTTGGACTTAGATCTTCTAGGTTTGATGAAATCAGGAATGTTGTAAAAATTTTCTCTCTAATTTAGATAACCCACAACCTGACGAGCAACACATTTTCCGTCTCTTTTGCTGAGAAGTGGAAGTAGGTTTTTGTTTGTTTTTACTATGGTTTTAATTGGCATCTGCCGTACATTAATTATGATGATGGATGAACTCTTTCTTAATTAGTTTGCTTTGTGATTTTATTAAATAATAAAATTAGCACTAAGTTATTAATACTTAAGACCACTAGTGTGGATGTTTTATTATACTGATTTATCCTATTTACTATATATTCTTTTCATCGAGGATAACTTCTGACATTTGGTTGCATTTTTTAAGTCTGGTGGAGTTCCTATTCAAACTCATCATGGCTATAATTACAGAGGACGAGGAAGAGGAAGAGGAATTGGGGTAATGTTCAATTTGGTGTTTCATTTAGAGATGTTGTGCTTTTAGAATGGATTATATCAATTGAAATTGAGAATGTATTGGTTGATCCAGAGATTTAAAAGTTTCCCTTTTGTCAAGAGGAACGGGGACTGATGGTTTTGATTGTTATTAAAGGGTTGTTAGGTTTGAGTTTCATACAGCATTTTTTACTTATTTTAAATATGTGAAATATTCTATAATTTTTGTCTTTTAAATAATTGTTACACCATTTAATAGATCTGCTAGACAAATTTTGTAATTTTTTTCTCTTCTGATAAGATTACGGGTGCATTTGGTAGGAGCTTAACGAAACCCTTATTGAATGAGTGCTTATCTTGTAAGCACAGGGTATGTGATTCGTAGAAGAATTAGGGTTATATTATTTGCATGTAAGTTGTACACTGTTTTTTTTTGTTAAGAGCTTCCTGAAATTAGCTAAAATAGCTTTTTGAATATATCATAAAATCTCCGAATTACTTATTTGAGTATTTATGTCATTAAATAACCCAAAATAAGCTCTTCCAAATATACCTAATGATTTTAATATTGAGTTCATGAAAATTTAATTAATATTTTGCTGCAGGGTTTGCGCCCAGTCACAAAATTCACTGAAGATTTTGATTTCATGGCAATGAATGAGAAGTTCAAAAAGGATGAAGTTTGGGGTCATCTTGGTAAAAGCAAGTCTCATTCAAGAGACAAAGATGGGGAAGAAAATGCCTTTGATGAAGATTACCAAGACGAAGACGAAGAAGATTTGTCAAACTTTGAGGTTAAGGTAATTTTTATATAGTGCACAGATTGATATGCTTTCAGTTTGTACTTATATATATTTTTGTTTTTGGTCTTTCTGTCATCATATGCCTTTGACTATGCTTTTCATGGATTTTGCAGCCTATTTACAACAAGGATGACTTTTTTGACTCGCTCTCTTCCAATGTGCATGATAATGCTTCCCAGAATGGAAGGACTCGATACTCTGAACAAATCAAGATTGATACTGAGGTAACTTCTATCTTTCATGGATCTCATATTTGGGGAAAGAAAATCAATTCTTTTGCTGATTTGTTGTGCAGACATTTGGTGATTTTGTGAGACACCGTGGTGGTCGTGGGGGTCGTGGCCCTGGCCGTGGTGGACGTACCCGGGGTGGTTATTATGGAAGAGGAGGAGGGTATGGCTACTTTGGTCGAGGGAGGGGCCGAGGCATGCCCAGTCGTAATTTGTAGGTGGCAGTCAATGTTTAGTCATGGACATGGTGGAGAACAAGAGCTTAGGAAGCCTCCTATTAAAGCACCATAGTTATGGTATAGATTATGCTTCATTGTTGTGTTGCCTGTTATATGTTTTGTTTCACAAATAAGTAGGACTTTTTTTTTCCTTCTCATGTTACCCTCTTGTTACTCCTCTACTAGTCCCTTGGTTTGGAGGAAAGATGTTGTTACACCATTTTATTTTATAGCTTATACTATATCGGCAAAGCAGAAGTTTAAACTAATTTATTGCTAGATTATTGTTATGCTAATGTAAGCTATCAATTGCTCATCCATTTTTGTGTGCAAGCTATCACTCGCTCATCCATAGTTTACTGCATATTTTTCCTATAAAAACTTGTATGATAATAAAACAATATGATAAGGAACATATTTTTCATAAGCTAAAATTAATTTATAATAAGGTTAAAATAACTTTTTTTTATAAAAAATTAAGAATGTCAATAAATTATTTAATTTATAAGTTAAATTACAAGGGAATTCTATAGAAACTTTAGAAAAAGTTGTCTATTATTTCTTTCCACTTGTCCTCTCATTCCTTATTTCTAGCTTCATCCTCTCTTCGTTGTCTCTACGTTGTTTCTTTAACATTGTTTTTTCCGACATTCTTTATTATTCATCTAAATCTATTGAAAATCAATGTATCTACTTTTAAACCGGAAGAGAAAGTCATTGAATGATTACCAGACCATAATTTTCAATCAATTTCAGTTAATATTTGAGAAAATTTATAATTTTATATAAATTAAATTTTCTATAAATTTTAACCAATAATAAGGAGTATTAGAAAACAATGTTAGTGAAATTATAATTCTCATTTCTCTTTATGTATATATATTACATTGCTGGAGATATAACCATGCAAACATATTCAAACAGTTTTGGATAATATCACTTAATTTTCACATAATTTACTTTATAAATTAAAAGTAGTTCAGCAGATAAATATTTTAAAGAAATGATGCATACATTGCTTTTATATTTTAAAGAAATGAGCTTATGCTCAATACCCTCTCTCTCTTGGCATATAATTTACTATAATCTGAAATTACTTGCATGTAGCAACAAGGACTTTCCTTGGAGGAAGGGAAGGCCTTCTACCATGAAGCAAAGCGTAGTTATCAAAGAAGAGAACATCCCCTTTCTCCCACTTGAACTGTATGCTCTCTTCTTCAATGATCTCTTCACACCTTTTCACTACATGTTCTGGAATCTCTGTTCCATCAGCGATCATGGCCGAGCTAATCTCCTTCCCATACATCCCTACCACTGTGTTAAACCACATTTTTCTTCCTTTTCTTCCTTCAAATACCTTGGTTAAACTCCTTGGTCCAAGTATTGTCTTTACCCCACCATCTGGAAGCCACTCCATGTCCATTCCTAGAGCTTTTGCCCTGCAACAATTTTTCAATCAAAACATTTGAGGTTCAATGACTGAAATAAGATTTTCATTGGATTCTCCGTGTATAAGGGTTAATGCACAAAATACAGCTTTACTTTTTAATTTATGATAAAAACAATACAAGTAGTGTCATGAGAAATGTTAAAAACTTTCTCTTTCAGCACATTCTTTACCACAATAATTATTAAATGGATTATGTCATGAGAAATATTAACAGCTTTCTCTTTAACATGTTCTTCACTAGGAGAATTCGTTATGTGGATTGAGACCATGTAGTCTCCACCAATTTTTATGCAACAAGTTATTAACGTATCGCAGATGTAGATTGAAAGGGATCAAATACTCTTAGACCATGTAATAATTTCTCGTATTTGAAAGTGTTCTGCTACCCTTTGTAGCCTTCAAATAGCATGCACGTACAGAAACTAGTTAATATTGTGTGTTGGCATTTGAAGGAAGAAAAACACCTTTTCTCAGCTTCTTTGCGATCTGAGGTCCCAAAGGCATCCTCCCAACCTCTACCTCTCATGGAGGAGTTATCATTCTGAGTACTACGAGCTGTAAATGAATACTTCAAACCCTTCTCCTCCATCTCCTTCACCTCTTCTGGGAACTCTTTCATCATCCTTTCTGTCACTTTGAAGCTTGGAACAAAAGGGGTCTCTCCCCCTTCTGGGGGAGGTATCTCACAAAAGAGTATCACTTTCTTGGGGTATTCCTTGATCTGGTAATTAAATCGCCAAATTTTATTAGCAGCTTTTCATTGGAATTATAATGTTGATTGTTTAGGAAAAATATGCAAGTTGCTACATGATGCAAGAAGCTTAATTACAAATATATATTGACATGTGTTGTTGAAGGATTCAATACCAGCTCAAATATTTTTAATTAAATAATCAGCCTGCTAGGTTCTCATCACACGATCGCTTTCTGCCCCAACTAATGTGTGAAGAACGTACGAAGGATGATTGAAACAAAAAAGTTTAATATCATGAATAGAAGAATATGCAGAGAATATTGTCAAACATTGTGTATTAATGAAATTATTTATATGCATAATTTTATGTCTCAAACCTTTGGTTCTATTCATTGATTGAAAAGGTTCTCTATAATGCATATTGATCTCATATTCCGTTTTATTACTCCTTTTTGGTCAAAGAAGACCTCGGATTTTGAGTTAGAATATCCAAGTAATTAACTGAAAATAGAGTTGCCAACAAATACATGAAACAAAATGAAATAACAACCAAAAATGGCTTGTAGGTACCTATTGTAAATGATTCTGTGATCCTTGGAATACGGTGAATATACGATATTGATATCAAGAAACTAGCTATGTGTATGACACATTATGGTGCTAATGTGAGTGTATAGTTGACTTACCAAAACCATTTCATGGTGATAGTATATGAACTCTGAGAGGGGTCCTTCATTGGCAGTCCACACCCTTTTGTAAATATGTGTGCGAGGTGCTGGTCCAACATAACGAATGTCTTCCCACCCAAAGGTTTCTACGATTTCATTGAAGTCTTCAGCATTCTTGACATCATAACCTCTAAGGAGAACAGCACTGTTCTTGATGATCATTTGCTCAAACCAGTCTTTGTTGTTCTCCAGAGCCAAGAGCAAGGATTCCAAGTCACTCTTGTTAGGCACAGGAGGTTCTAGCACCAAGGGCATGGTTTCCCCATCTACTACTTTTTCTCCCTCACATTTTCCCACCTTGAAGTCCTTGCAAGAAAACTCCATCTTAATGCCTCCTACCTCTCTCTAAAACCAAATAGTTTTATATAGTGTTTAACCTGTGCGGTTTTACCTTCAATAGCCTTATGTCTATATATAATATAGTAATGATTGGTGCTGACATCTGCTATGCTACATGACAAGAGGATGGCTTTGTCATTGGTCTATAGGGATTCTTGTTGTCCTTATTTAGTTGTTCTTATGCTTTGCAAGGAATCGAAGATGCTCAATTTGTAAGTCATTGCAAATCGCAGAAGCATAATTGTTTGGATAGATATCAAGACAATTTTATGGGGGATTAAAATTGTGTTCATTTTTTTTTTGTTCCAATCGTATACTCTTATGCCAAAACCACCTGGCAAACTGCTAATGGTACATGGAATTTATAAACAGTTTTGAACGGTAATGGTTGTGGTAGAGCCCTTCCAGAAATTTCCGAAGCCAAAGTTTAACTCAGGCCTAACAGAGGGTTTGGAAATAGTTCTCTTAGGGGTAATAAAAAGAAAAACAAATGATTGAGGTAGAGCCAAAAGAAGTGATATACTCAATTATAATCCCCTAACCCAACACACAATGTTCTTCGTAGTTATCTAAAGACTGCTTGAGAAACTCAGATTGTGATTGTGACTCTAAAAATTTCTTGAGAAACTCAGATTGTGACTGTGACATGTGAGGAAGCCAAGTAATCTCTTGGAATATAGGGAATCATGCCACAATAGTGCCGCTCCCATGAGTGCTGCACCTCATGCCTCAGGCTATTTTGTCACCACAACCCCCTTCTCCATCACCGATTTTTGCCCACTGTGTGAAGCTTTCTGTAGATACCCGACCCAAATCAAGCGGCTGTCGTTACCTAGATACCAAAGACCTGACCCAAAGCTAATCGTGGGAGGAGTTGACTTTTTAATTAAAATAATATTATATATATATATATATATATATATATATATATATATATATATATATATGCAAGGTCATGAAATTACAATTAGAAATATTTGAGTGTTGTACTTCGAATTCCACAACTTTAAACTTACAATTTTTTTTTAATAAAAAATTAAATAAAATATATAATTAAAAATAATAAAATTATATCAAAATAATAAAATTAATATTAAAAATAAAATTTTAATTTTAAATTTAAATAATATTTATATATAAAATAATAAAAATAATATATTATTTAAATATATATTAAATTATTTAAATATATTTAAAAAATTATTAAAAATATTAAATAATAATTTTTTATTATATTTTTTTATATATTTTTTTTATTTTTGAATAGGAAATTTAAAATTTATATATTTTTTATTATATAAATTATTTAAGTTATAATTTTAGAAAAAAATAGAATAAATAAAAATTTAATTTAGGTAATATATTAAGAAAATTAAATATTATATTATAAAAATTTATGTAATAGTTTTTATTTGATAAATTATAAATATTATATTAAAAAATTCATGCTAAAATTAATTTTTTTAAAATAATAAAGTAAAAATATTATTTAATTAGTTAAAAATTATTATTATTAATATAAAATAAACTTAAAAATAAAAAATAATAAAAATTGACAAAATTTAATGTATAATATTAAAAATAACATAATCATTGATAATAAAAATTGAAAAATAAAATTATTGACAATAATGTTAAGAAAATTTTAATCTCCAAAGTGGTGTCCAGGTTCCACAACGAGGACGACATCTATTACGTTTTGGATTTCGTCGGTGTGGTTGTTCTTGAATTTCAAGAGAAATTTGTGGAGGATTTTCTTCTTCATGAATCTCCAAATTTTGGAATGTAGTTGAGGAACTACTTGGTTGGTTAGCATAATCTGGTTGGTAAAGAGAATTGATGTAAGCTTGAGCTGAAGCTGGAGTTGAAAAATTTACTCCAAATAAGTTTGAGAAGATATCCTCTCATGTTGCTGCAAAAGAATGTCTTCTGTCAATTGTGTTTGGTTCTGGCGTCACAAATTGTTGAGGTAAGAAAACAGGTTGTTGAGACTCCTCATACGATGATATGGAAGTTGCATAAGTTTCAAAAGTGGTTCCAGCCCGTGGTTGTTGGCTGGCTCTTGGATCTTTGAGCAACTGTAGTACAGATAGAAAAATAATAGAATTGACATTGTACCATTGCATGTATTCTATTATGTGAAATAATGTGTCTTGCATTGAATGACCCACTAATGTCAATTGACGTCTATTATTCCATATATCAATCTAGTGAGCATGTTTTTTTATCCAATTTTTGTCATGTCTTCCCCTCATATCAATGTTGTGTAGGTCATCCAAATTATTTGGTGAAGGGATTTCTTGGAATAAACCAAATTGTAACTTCACTCTATCATATTGGTGTCATTCAACAATTGCAAAACAAATGATGGTTGTACATGTAGTCCACAATTGGACATCCCTAAATGCTTGAATTGGGATTGATCTTTGCAAGTCCTTATAAACCAAAAAATTGCAAAAAACCAAAAAATTGCAAAGGGGTCCATAGAAACTTCCACCAAAAAATAATTTTTGTTATTAAAACAAACCAAAATTAAAAAAAATTAATAATTTTAAAAGAAGATTTACCTGATCAGTTTGAATGTGATCAACCATAGTTCTATACTCGACAACATCATTGTGAGGTACATTTCTAAAGTTTAACACTTTACCTCCGCTCCATTTGCAGACCAATGAGTATGTTGGTGGAAGTATAGAAATTGGAGCAATATATGACATGCGATGCCATGCCCAAGATTGTAAAAGTGATGCATAACCACCCATTGTTTTGACTTTTACATCCGTTGCTCTACACATATTCCTGTACAACACAACTAAACAAGCAAATCCCCAACTATAACGCCTAGAACTTTTAAGATTAGTTAATAAAGTTAAATACATAAGATGAACCTTATTTCCTATTTTGTCAGGCATCAAAATACCTCTAATTAAACCTAATACATATGCTCTACAATGGGCATGAAGTTGTTCTTCTGATGGTTCTTCTGGGAGTTGTAAAATATTTTTCCTAAGCCACTTTAGCTTGATCATAGAGCCAATTAGTAACTCTCCTTTAACTGGCACAATGCCCAAATATGTTTCACACATTTCGTCCCAATCTAACATTGTTGGGTTGGTAATCCATCAACTCTTAACCCGAGTTGAAGTGCAACATCCTCTAGCGTTATGGTGCATTCTCCTATTGAAAAATGGAATATGTGATTTTCAGGTCTCCACCTTTCTACTAGAGTTGTTACCAAAGCATGATTAACCTTTAGATGTCTTAGCTTTGCTACTGGAGCAAAGCCTACTTGTTCTAGTAATGGAACAATTAGAGGGTGGGGTTCTGACATTGAGTGACAATATGATGATATAATATTTTCAGTCTCCTGCAATTATTAACGAATGAGGCATAACATTTGTTCATATAAAAATAAAGTATAAATAAATAAGGATGATATGTTAAACTTACCGTCCTACCAATGAAGTTAGCTCTATGTTCATTTTGCTTTGATAATAACATTTTGGCTGACTGATATTGCAAGTATGTGATAGATTAAACAAATTCATACCATCTATATTTATAGGAAACCTTAACATTGGTTGGGAGAAGAGAAAGTGTGGTAGTTGTGAAGTGTGTCTGACAAGTCACACTCACTCGATTTACGTGCTCCTCATAAGACATCTTTTTTTGTTAGGAGAAGTGAAAGTGTGAGAGTGGTGAGGTGTGTCTGACAAGTCACACTCACTCGATTTACGTGCTCCTCAGAAGACATCTTTTTTTGTTGGGAGAAGTGAAAGTGTGAGAGTGGTGAAGTGTGTCTGATAAGTCATATGTACTCGATTTACGTGCTTCTCAAAAGACATCTTTTTTTGTTGGGAGAAGTGAAAGTGTGAGAGTGGTGAAATGTGCATGACAAATCACACTCACTCGATTTACGTACTTCTCAAAAGACATTTTTTTATTGGGAGAAGAAAAAGTGTGGTAGTTGTGAAGTGTGCCTGATAAGTCACACTCACTCGATTTACGTGCTCCTCAGAAGACATCTTTTTTTGTTGGGAGAAGTGAAAGTGTGAAAGTGGTGAAATGTGTTTGACAAGTCACACTCACTCGATTTACGTACTCCTCAGAAGACATCTTTTTTTTATTGGAAAAAGTGACAGTGTGAGAGTTGTGAAGTGTGCCTGACAAGTCACACTCAATCGATTTACGTGCTCCTCAGAAGACATCTTTGTTGCTTCCTTACTTACCATTATAAATAGAAGGTATAACTTTAGTCATTTTACATGTTACCATTATCACTTACATTCTCCTTCTTTAGTTGTTTGTTGTTTTCACTCTATAGAAATCTTTCTACCTTTATTATTTTCAAATAAATGGGTTCTATATATGTCATTGTTTACTATGATGGTGCCATGAATAGTTGCCCTATTGAAGGAGTCACTTTCAACTCAACATCCGCAAAATTGGTGTCTTTAAAAAGATGTCTATCTCTACAAACGATGAAGAAATCATCCACAAAAAATGTGAGAAAGATGCAAATGAAAGGGTGACAACTATACATTTTCGGTACCCAATACTACTTGGGCCTAGAGTTAACAACTACACAACTGTGGAGTTGAAGGATGATGAAGACATCGAAGCAATCTTCAACATACATGATTCGAATGTACTTCAATCAGGTATTGAACTATATGTTACATTTGATGCATGTACTTCGTCATTTATCCAAGCCTCACAACCACAACTTTCACTCTCACATTACCCTATCCATGATGTGATAAACCCACATATAACAACAAATGATTTCAATTGGGAAAATGACACTCAATCGTTCACCCAACTTTTAAGTTATCCTTTGACAAACCAAAATGGATTAGAATCACAACAAAGCCAACAACCACCCATAGAAGAAAATGCTATCGTAGGTCTTTCAACAGAAGTTTTTTATCCTTTTAGTGAAGATGAAGACGAAATCCTTAGCCAAATTCCAGATGATGAAGAAG